GCCTGACTGCTGAGCCCGCAGCAGAGCTGGCTGGCTGCAGTGGAAGACTCAGTCCCCTTTGCCACAGCAAGGCGGCCCTGGGGAGGCTAGGAGGCACCGCGGGGAGTAGAGCCACACGGGATAATTCCTAGAGGCCCCCGTTGAGATTGGGGCCACAGCACCTATGAGAGACGGAGGACGTATCATTGTCTCTCCGGCACAGCTGGGTAACGGTCTCCGGCGGCTGCCTGGGCTAAGCGTGCTCTGCAGAGGGATCGCTGCATTGCATCTCAAGCCGCTCTACAGCATCTTGACTGGGCAGCCCCCACCCATCTCCCGGGGAGGCTGCTGCCTGAGACTTGAAGGGCTGGGGTGCAAGGTGGCTGTGCGTGAGGGTTTGGGGGCAGGTCTGACCAGGGGGCATCTGTAGAGGAGCTAGGTAAGGTTCCCCCTGTGTGTCCGGCCCCCTCCTCCTGGTGCATCCTGCTTGTCCTTCATTTCCCTGCCTCTTGGCCTTTCCTCCGTCTCCCTCAGCTCCCCCTTTGAATTACACTTGTTGCCATGGGAACAGTGTCAGTGATGCAAGAGATGCGTGGTGACATTCCCAGGTGCCTGGTGGAGCCGGCATCTCTAATAGCATGAAACACTGCACCTGGGGTGTGAAACGGGGAGCTTGTGCCATGGACGAGGCTGTTAGAGGGCTTATCCCTTCACCCTCCCGCTTCCCTGGGCCTTCTCGTGGGAGTCGAGAGCAGTTAGACCCAAGTCCAGAGATGCAAACAATTTGCTGCGTCCAGCCGGCAGCGCCCCGGTTTCCATTCCGTTCGGCCCCGTTCCCTTGTTTTCTCTCAGTCGCTCCTGGGTCACGTGCGGGGCTGGTTCTGACACCACGCCCCTGAGTAATCGGGAGGGCACTGACACGGGAGTTGGGGAGGTTGCACAATGTGAACCAAGCAGTCCCAGGCACCAGTTCCCCACCAGTACCCTGCTGTGAGAAAAGCTCGTGCCCTGCTACCGTGGCAGCTCTAGGCCCCCTCTTATTTCCTCCCCCCCTCCCCATGCCCACGCTTTGCTTGCTTTGCTGTTTTTCCTTTTTGGGACGCAGCAGACTTCATACCTGTAGGTGCACTCCCCTGGCTCTCAGCGGCCAAGCTCTCATTCTCAGTCACTACGCCACTTCGGTGAATCCCTTTCCCATATTCTGAAGGAGCTGCGGGCCCATCATGCATGGACTTTGTCGGGGACTAAAACTAACGTTGGGATGAAATGTTATGGGGGGGATGTATCTTACGTGTGTGGCTCTAGCCTGTGTATATGGGGTATTTTAAGTGTGCAGCATGAGCATTTTTTGTGTCTCATGCATCTGTGCATTGTGTCTTTTGGGTGCATTCGGTGTGTGGCTTATGGGTGTATATAGCATGTGTGTTGCATGTGGGTCTCTCACGTGTGTATAGTGTATATTTTGCATGCATTCTGTCTGTGCACGGCGTGTGTATTTTGTGTGGTTTTGTTTACCATCATGGACCCCCTCCCCTCTTCACACTCTTCACACTGGGTATGTCTACACTACCACCCTAGTTCGAACTAGGGTGGTTAATGTAGGCAACCGGAGTTGCAAATGAAGCCCAGGATTTGAATTTCCCGGGCTTCAATTGCATATTGCCGGGTGCCGTCATTTTTAAATGTCCGCTAGTGCGGACTCCGTGCCCGCGGCTACACGCGGCACGGACTAAGTAGTTCGGATTAGGCTTCCTATTCCGAACTACCGGTACTCCTCGTGGAGTAGGGTGGTAGTGTAGACATACCCACTGTCTTTTGAGCCCATGCTTCATGTGGTGAGCCATCCCTGGCACTGCTGGTGGGCTGGGAGCTCGCTCTACCTGTTTGCCTGGGGATGGTTGAGTGTCAGGCTGGAGTGTGCTTTGGGGAAACGATTGTGAATCATCGCTGCTGCCCAGTAAGCTGGGTACTTCAGAGTGTTCTCCATGACTTGCCCCCTTGACTTCCACATGGATCTGACCTGCCTTCCTCCGAGGACAAACTTCCCCTTAACGACATGGGGCTTTTCTCGCTCCTTTTTCAGCATTTGGGGCCATGTGTCAGTGACTGTGAAAGATGAGCTGTTCTTCGCCCTGGGCTGGGGTAGCCCTTGTCTGCTGGGCCTAGCTGGGAGATCTGGCAGCTCCAGGTTACCTCTCTGAGGCTACAGCTACGCTGCTTCGCTTTTGCAGAGGCTATGCAAATCACACTCACATTTGCATATCTTCTTCCGCTTCTTTTTGCGGAAGAGGTTTTGCCTATAAAAAGCCCCATGTAGACAGGGCCGTTTGTCAGAAACCCCCCTCTTTCACAAGATCCCTTATTCCTCAAATATCAAGGTTTACAGGATCTTGCGAAAGAGGGGTTTTCCCAACAAATGGCCCCATCTACACGGGGCTTTTTATCAGCAAAACCTCTTCCACAAAAAGAATCAGAAGAAGTATGCAAACGCGAGCGTGATTTGCATAGCCTCTTCTGCAAAAAAGTGGCAGTGTAGCCGTAGCCTGAGGGTGCCTCAACACTGCACCGTTTTCCCAGAATAGTGGCTGTTATTCTGGAAAAACAGTCCTAGCGTCCACACTGCAATTGCGTTATTTCAACAGGACTAATGGAGGGCATTTTCCGACGGCGATAAACCTCATTTCATGAGGAGTAAGAGTGCAGGGTGCTCTATGACAGTGGTCAAGAGATTCCTCAGTGTCTCCTTTCCATTGCTT